TATCTATCTATCTATCTATCTATCTATCTATCTATCTATCTATCTATAATCTATCTATCATCTATCTATCTCTCTATCTCTCCATCATCTATCTATTATCTATCTATATCTATCTATCCATCATCTATTAATCAATCTATGTATCTATTATCTATCTCTCTATATCTATGCATCATCCATCCATCTATCCATCCATCCATCCATCCATCCATCCATCCATCCATCATGTGGTACTGGGAATTGAACCTGGAGCCTAACACATGCTAGTGCTCTACCACTGTGATAAAGCTCAGGCAAAATAAGATAAATTTAAAATCCCTGTTTGCTGTAAGCTCTGGGGATGGGTGGATCTGACCTGAAGCTCACCCACTGTGTACTTATTGTGACTCAGAGAAAGTGAACCTCTCAGAACGAGCCTTCTCTCTCATCTGCTAACCGGCAGCGTTGGTGTTTGTCAGACTCAGCGTGATGCTCTATGTGAGAGAACGTCTTACAGACAGACCAGAGAAAAGGAGCCCAACTTTCCTGCAGAGCTACAGTGTCTGCTGTGACTCCCACTGTGACTCAAGCTTCCAGTTAGGGCAGAGCCCAGTTTCTCATTCCAGAGGCTGATCTCAGGAGAAGGCCTGGCTCTTCTTGGACACCCCTCCCACACTCTAGCCCCTTGTCCCTGAAAAAAGCAATCAGATTGACTCAGAGAAAGCTGCTGAGCCTCTGGGGCCACTGTGCACCACTCCCACCCCTGCAGCATCATCACACAGACGACGAGAATCTCACAGACCTTCTGTTATCCTCATGGATCTGATCCTGGTTCTTCAAAAGCTCTCTTCCCAGACAGCTCAGGCTCCTTTGGGTTTCTGTGATGTTGTGAGAACATTTAGACAGGACCTCTGAGATCTGTGGGGCCAACAGAGAGAATCCTCTGGGTCCTTGACTCAAGGTTATGCTGTGCAGTTCACGGCCCGCTCTCCCCACCCCTGGTTCACTCACAGTCTGCAGCCTGGACCTCAGCTCTGTGGCTTCCTTTAGTTCCTGAATGTCAGGCATCCCAGCTCCACTGCTGAACCTGGGCAGAAGTAAGGATAAAGTTGTGTTGGGGGGCTCGAGAGGCAGATGAAGAGGTAGTGGACTCTGTACTCACACACTGGGCACAACTTCTTTGTGATAGTCTTGTTGGATTTCTGAGAGTTTGAGACAGAACAACCAACTTGACATGGGCCCTACACACTAAGGTTGTGATACTGTTGAGCATTGTAAAGAATAAGTCAAAGTATGTTGAAACACAGGAATTAATGAAAATATACAACCCTACCATGCAAAGTAGCTATTAGTAAACTCTTTGCTAGAAAGTTCTACAACTAAGTAGAATGAAGTTCTTCCCAGTAAAAACAAGATTTCCTGGCAACCAGTAGCACATTGATGGGAAGGTACTAGCCCATAAAAATCCAGGATTTGGACCATGAACATCCCACTGTCCCGTGAAATGATTGACAACTCAACCCAGAATGATTGACAGGTGCATATCTTCGAGGTGACAAGGTAACGTCACCTTGGTTCTTCTGCAGGAAAAACACACCTACACAGTAAAGAAATCACATGACCATTACCTGCGGTGTGTACCCAGGAAGGACACAGTAAAGAAATCGCATGACCATTACCTGTGGTGTGTACCCAGGAGGGACCCAGCATGGTTTATGGTGTATTCTAACACAAAATGTTTAACTGGAATCCAACAGTCTGAGGAACCTCTAACTTACCAAAGATGCTGCTGGGGAAGAAGAAGGAGGAGGAAGAGAAGGAGGAAGAGGAGGAAGAGGAGGAGGAGGAAGAGGGAGAGGAGGAGGAGGAAGAGGAAGAAGAGGAAGAAGAAGAGGAAGAAGAGGAAGAAGGAGAAGAAGTAGAGGAGGAGGAGGAGGAAGAGGAGGAGAAGAAGCAGCCAAATGACAACAGCAAATTCTATGAACCTGAGGGTAGGGCAGTGGACTAAGCTGGTAGAACGAAGGCAAGCTGTGTGTGGGGTAAAGTCAGAGGGAAGAACTTAAAAAACTCGCACATGTGTGCACACACACACAGACACGCACATACACACACGCGCACACACAGGCACAGGCACGTACTGAGGGAAGAGAGCTCACTCGATCACTGAGGAAAGCAGGTTATAAAACACTAAGGGACAGAATGTGAGTGATAGTTTACACACACACACACACACACACACACACACACACACACAGAATGACAGGCAAAGACGAAGACCAATGCCATGTGACAACTCGTCTCTGGGTGGGAGATGCTTCCCCACTTCCTGACTTTCTCCCATCAGCATGTAGTCTTTTTAAATAAATGCCCTTCTCTCTTCTTATTTAAAAATTTTCATACAATATGTTTTGTTCATGCTTTCCCCTTTCCCAACCCAGATCCTCCCTCTATCCCTACCCAACCAACTTTATGGTTTTTTCCTTCTTTAAAAAAAAACCCACAAAACAAAAATCAAAACAGACAAACCTCAATAGGACAAATATCAAAACAAAATAAAACATAGCTATGCCTCCTTTCCCCCAAACCCATCAACAATGGATTTCATTTTGTGTTGGCCAGCTACTACTGGCCATGAGGGCTTCGTGACACTGGACAAAACTGATTGTCCCTGTGCACCTCTCTCTCTCTCTCTCTCTCTCTCTCTCTCTCTCTCTCTCTCTCTC